CAGCAGTTAAAAGGAAACGCTGTCACCACTCGATGCCGACCCACGTCCCCGCCGGGCGCCCGGCCCCGGGTGCCACCCTGCACCCAGTGGGCCCAGCTTCTCTCTTGTTCTTGTGTTGACCCCCCCTTCTCCCCTCCCAGCGCCTCCCCCATCTCATTTTATCCACAGGGAGGGGATAACAGCCAAAAAAAAAAAATTATATATATATATATATTAAGAAAATGGATGCATTGTGTTTAAGAGAAAAAGGAAAAAAAAAATTCTATATATTTGTAGCTGCAGCTGTGGGAAGCACCCAGGAGCTCATTGCTGAGTAACCATCTGCCCATTGCTATTGAATATGGTGGGGAAAATGACAGAAAACACTTTTTTTTTGGGGAATGCTCCTCACTGGGGTCTTGTTTGGACGGGAGGACAGATGGATGGACACCCCACACCGCTCCAGCCACTGCTCAGGCTGGCAGCTCCACCTGTCCCATGGCTTTTGGGGCAGTGGGTGCTCCTGCCAGGTGTGCACGCCAACATCTGGATGGGAATTTGGGATGGGGGTGGTGTGGGAGTGCAGCCAGGACGCCTAACACCGTGGTAATTCCCATGTGAAAAGGGACCAAACCGGTCAAAACTGGGAGCTGGGGCCCGTCTGCTTGCACAGCCCTGCCTCCCTCAATGGGAATTCCTTCCAAAAAAAAAAAAAATATATATATATATATAAAATAAAAATCTATTTTATATATATATATATATATATATCTGTGCTATCTCTCCATGGATACCTCTCTCCATCCATCCCCACGAGAGCTCGGTGCCCGTGCCCAGCTCCGCTCGTGTCGTCCCGTGGTGAAGCGTTTCTGAGCGTGCCGTCACCCTGAGACCCCCCAAAAACCCTCTGGGCCCTCCCCAAAAACCCTCTGGGGCCCTCCAAACCCCCCAGGCCCCCCCAAACCCTCTGGACTCTGTGTATATTAATGACTGTGTCTTGTGACGTTCTTACGAGCTTGGTGTATAGTGATTTCCCCAAACCTCTGATTTTAGTTGGGTTTTTATTTGACGCCCCTGGATTGCCCCCTGTCCCTTGCCTTTAGATGCACTGCAATATTTTGGGGTCTATGGTTTTGTTCTCTTCCCCCTGAAGGCTGTGACCCCCCTTTTCCTACCCTAAAATTGCTCTTTCTTGCCTTGTTGGTGGTTAGCCCCCCCCTTTCCCTTCTCTTCCCGTCTGCTCCTTGCCCATAAAGTTAAATATATATTTTTAGGGCAAAGGCTGTATCATTGCACTGATATTTGTTGGTTCCCCTTTGGTCTCCCAGCCCGTTTCTGTTCCTCTTTGGTTTAGCAATGCAAATGCTTCAGGATCTTGTATGTTGGACATTATTATTATTATTATTTTTTCTGTTACAGTTATTTATATAAAAAATAATTTATCAAAAAGGAAAACTTTAAAAAAAATAATCTAGTCTGTCTTGGAACTTGTTTACCTTGAAATTACTGGAATCTAAATGTTTGAAAGTGTTGAAGCACAAACATGTATCATCTCTGTATATCTGTTCTTCTGTACTAAAGCACTCGAGTGACTAAATAAAAGCGATCTCCATCCCTAGTGCAACTGGGGCCGTGCTGTGCTGCTCCCTCAGGGCCAGGAAAACAGGGAAAAGGCATGGGAAAATATTCCCTCCAACCCCAAGGGAGGGCTCCTGGTGTGGTGATGCCAAACCTCCCCCTAGGAGTGGCTTTGGGAAGGAAAATCAGCACACGAGTCATCCAACTGCATTTATTTCCTTTAAAAATAGGTGATTTCTTCGTACAAAATACCACCCCAGTGGCTCTGCTGGGCGTTAAAAAATAGGAGATAGGGAAAAAAACCCATCATTTGGTCCTGGCTACTGCATTTGGGATAATTACCCACACTTTCCACACGCTTCCATCACGCCCTGCCTGGGCTGGGGGAGTCACAGCTTCCAGCTTGGGGCACAGGCATGAGCAGAGGCAACCAGAGACAATAAAACCTCTTTAAAATCCCCCAAACCTCTTTAAAATCCCCCAAACCCAGCCCTCTCACCCCAACAAAGGAACAGGGGACAGCCCCATTCCCAACCCCGCTGGGCTTATGTCAGGATCAGGCTCAGGAGGAGCTTGGAAAGCTCCAGCCCTGAGTCCCTCACTGATCCCCCCCTCCAAATGTGGGTATTTGTACAACAAATAAAAGATAAATAAATACATTTGACACTGGCACTTCAGGTAGGTCCTACACATAAACACAGGGAGCAGGGGGTTTAGCTGGACCCATCCCAGGAAAAGCTGCCCCAACCACATCATTTTCCCTAAAAAATAGGCATTAACCCCTTAGAAACCCAGCTGGGAGGAACAGGGGCTCCACAGACCTGCTCTGGTCTCAGCAGGTGACTTTTCCTCCACCAGCCCAGCTTCCCTGAGGATCCCAGAGGGAAAACCTCAAATCCTTCATTTTATTTTCAGCCTGGCTGATGCTGTGGGTGGCCACATCCAGGGATGACCAGAAAAAAACCCCACAAATGCCCTAAGGGCTGTGCTGGAAATGCAAACCAGAATATTTATATATATGTATCTGTAGAAAGATATATCTATAGAATCAGATACAGATCTGTACATACACAGATCCATTTATAGCTGTCTCTCTAGATCTAGACATATAACTAAATACAGATATGCCTATATCTAGATATATCCATTTATAGATACACATATATCACACACACACATTACAGATCATCAATCAACACTCAAAAGAGTGATTTAGCTGCTTACTAGCTAAAAAATTCACATAAAAACCATAAAAAAAATTAAATTTCCCCAGGGAGGATCGTGCTGGGTTGAAGTCCAAGGGCACGGGGCACAGGCTCCTGAGGAGGCCTGTGGGTGGGGAAGGGGTGGGATGGGGGATCCCAGGGGATCCCGGGGATTTCTGCCCATACAGGCACAGAGGTAAACACAGCTGCCAAGGGGGCTCGACCCACACGGGGTCAGAGCATCCCCACAAGTGCTCAGGGTGGGGTGGCCACTGCCCTGGGGGGACACAGGGCCACCCCGCTGCTCCCACGCCTTCCCCCCTCCTGCAGCCTGGGGGGGCCTGCAGAGGGACAGACAGACGGACAGACAAGCCATGCAGGGAGTGCAGGGAGAGCGGGAGCGGGCTGGGAGCCAGGGCAGCACCCCCGGGAGGCACCTCCAGCCCTGCTGCCCCCAGGAGCTGAGGGGCTCATCCTCCGCTCCCGCTGGCACGGAGGGGCTGGAGCTGCCAGCAGGGCCCTCAGAAGAGGCTGGAGGTGCCAGTGGTGCCCTCAGAAGAGGCTGGAGGTTCAGCAGGGCTTTCAGAAGAGGCTGGAGGTGCCAGCGGGGCTCTCAGAAGAGGCTGGAGGTGCCAGTGGTGCCCTCAGAAGAGGCTGGAGGTTCAGCAGGGCTTTCAGAAGAGGCTGGAGGTTCAGCAGGGCTTTCAGAAGAGGTTGGAGGTGCCAGCGGGGCTCTCAGAAGAGGCTGGAGGTGCCAGTGTGGCCCTCAGAAGAGGCTGGAGGTGCCCTCAGAAGAGGCAGGAGGTGCCAGCAGGTGTTGGGAAGGATAGATAAATATAATTGCCTGGCAGAAGATTCACAGTAGTACAGCCAGGATGAAAACAATTCTCCCTACTGGCTGGACAATGCCCTTACCTACTGATAGGTCCAAAAGTCAAATGGACTGTTCCATCTCAACCCCCAAAATGTACAGTTCATCCCACACCTGTAACCCTCCGCTGAAGCATCAGGTGTCTGTGACCCCATTGGCCCAAGTCTTGTTCCAGCCCACCTTGAAGCCCCCTGATAAGGGGTCTCTGAGGAGCCAGACGCTCTCTTGGATCTTCCCCTCTCTTGGATCTTCCCCTCTCTTGGAACTTCCCCTCTCTTGGAACTTCCCCTCTCTTGGAACTTCCACCCTCTCCTGGAGCATCCTCTCTACCCCTTGTCTCTCCCCTCTCCCATCCCCTCAGGCCTTGCCCCGTGCTGCATCTGGCAGCTCCAAGCAAGACCTTTCACCATCCCTAATAAACCTGATATTCTAGGAGCAGCCTCCAGA